GATTTGAAGAATGAACTACGAGTATGACGACTCTGTAGAAATAGATCAAGGAGTATAGTCAATCGCAGAAGGAAAGATTGACCTAATACACTTGAACCATTCAATAATAATGAAATAGATATTTTGATCTTGAACCAATCCCTCAAATAAAACAATTCCAAATACTTCACCAATCACCTAAGTGGTGTGTTGAAGATATTTTGAACAAAGTCCATCATCAAAATAAAGAGAATGAAGACAGTAATGAATTAGTGAGTGAGGAGGAAGAATCAAAGTTAGATAGTCAACCAATCAGTGAAATTAAAATTGAAGAACCTCAATCTACGGTACAGAGAAAAGATGGTTTTCATGAGGAAACTGAAATAAAATCTAATATCATTGACACTGACCCATTTGAATCTGAAAACTCGTTTATTTTTATACAAGAAGATTTAACAAGTTTGAAACGAGCAAGGTATGATGAAAATATTGAAGACGAATCAACAGAATTAAGCACTCTCATTAATAAACCTACTTCAGATATTGAACAACCTTTATCTAAAAGAAAACTTGAATGAACAGATTGTTTTATAAATTTCTTTACTGTTTTTTAAACTTAACATAAATATAAACAATCAATTTATTCAAGACAAACTATCATTCATAAAAATTAACTTATAAGGATAGTTATCAATAAATATGCACATACTCTTTAAATCAACTAATACACGTCCAACTTCTAAATTAATAGGAACAAGTCCTGTTGTGTGTTCGTGATTGAGTAAGAGGGTTAACGCTTCTGAATCACTTTCCCCTAACTTAATCACTCCTTGAGTTGTTTCATAAAACCATGTGAAATAGCACTTAAAATCTGTGTTTTTAACAATACCACAATTCTCTTTAGGGCCTTTACCAGATAAACGAGATAGCATGAGCAAAACTCTCTCAATAAGATAACTCTTAGCTGGAATGCCTAGCCCATGATAAAGATATTGACAATAGTTGCTTTGAGACTCTTTAATTAAATTATCAAATTTAAATCCTTCGGGTTGATTAAACTGAAAGCAGGCTATAGGAAGACATAGCGTGTCATTTAACCTGTTGTTAACAACATACCCAAAAGGAAATCTTGATACTTGTCTTGAGTCGATGACATATGTCAATAACAGTGCACTTCCATATAATCTTGAAAGGGATGAATGAGATGCAAAATATTCTCCTTCTCCAAATCTTTGCATATTTCTTCTTTTTATATCAAATCCATCTCTCATTATTGATTCAGCACTACCCCATTTTGTCCCATGCCAACATAAGAACCCTTTTGTATTTAATGAGTTAATAACTTTGTGTGTTAGATTTTTTTTAACTAGTTCTACTAACTTGCAGTGACTGAATAAATTTATATTAAAACTGATTGTTACATTGTCTCTATTTGCAAGTCCAGATTGGTCAAGATATCTACAAACATGTTTCGTAAATTCATATGAAGTAATTCTCTCAATAAATTCTTCAATTAAATGATTAGTGTTAAAATAAAGTTCATTTATTTGTTTATTTTTTTTCAAGGCAGACTTCCACCTTATTTCTAGTTCTTTTTGTTCTTCCTCTTTCTTAGTTTGTTCTTTTTGTTTCTTAGTAATTTCATACTTGTTAGTAAAGAAATAAGTACCACAGTTCTGACAAAATAC